TCTATTGAGATCTTGTACTTGTTTTATCTCCTATTGTAAGACTAATACTAATTAGAAGAATTTCTTTAAGCTGGTTAGTCTCTGTTGTATAAGGAATGCAAAAGTGAAGGGTAAACAACATCAAATGCCCCTATGTCAGTCAGCTCTTGGCCAGTCTCTGCATTCGATCGTACAGGTATAATATATTTTCGTTAGCTATTTGATTGTTGTGATGTATTTCAGATTGGAAAATAATACGTGTGAGTTAATTATGAGATCATAGCTTACGTTCAATGTTGAGTACTAGTTGGGACGTTTCTGGTTGCAGAGCAGGAGTTTACGGTCAAGCCGCATCTTATTTAGGTTGGAGAAATATTTGTGCATCCTCTTTTTAAGAGTTTCAGTGCCTGGTGGTATAAGCTAGAAGTTTAGAACTTGTCTTGTATACTTTTTCCAATGATGAATATATGTTAATAACATAATAATTTTTGCATGGTTTCACATATTATATTCGGCAGAAACTACTTTCTTATGGTTCACATTTTATGAATTCTACTAGATCTTAGTACTAAAAGATGGTATATCTGATCTTAACTCAGAATCAACCAAACCTCCACCAATTGGGAAGCTGCCAAGGCTAATCAACTAAATAATTTCCCTCAGGTTTCTTGATTGTTCTTGTTCTTTTTGTTCATTTATCTTATAGATTGTGGATAAGACACATATGGGAAAGTTATGCTAATATTTTGCTTCTGTTCTAAGCCCTAAAAGCAATGGTGCTGGCCGACTCATCGATCTTGCAGGTATTAATTAGAATGAGGGTTTGCTTCTATTAAGTAATAGTAATGTTATTTCTTTCTTAAAAAATGCATGTGTTATATCATTCATTTTCTTCTCTTTTGGGTTGGGGTAGGGGAGGCAGAGAATACTTAAAATTTTGTTTGCATGTTAAATAATGTGTAATATTAGTTTCTGATATTGTGCAATAGTCTGTTATAAGGCATGATCATCCCATTACCTTTTGTTTTTATACTTTTTAGTGTATATTTTTTGTTTTTGCTAAAGCAATAATTTTTATAAGCAATTGTAATGTCATCTTCAATGTCTTATGTATCCTAGTTTTCAAGGTGTCAAGACCAATTGATCAACTTTAGGCAAAAATTTGGACTTGGGATAATGTGGAAGAAGAATAAGCAGAAGGGTAATGTTGCTGATTTGGCGCAATAGAAATAAACATGCTTGATTATTCAAGTTTGAAAATTTAAAATGTATAGTTGTATTGTACTTCAGTTTGGCTACTTGGTATGTATTTTTCTGTTTTGTAAGTTCTTAAGTTTATAGAAACAAATTGAACAAATATTTATTTGTTCTTGTTGTAGATGTAATAGTTTGGTTGAATCAATTAGATTGATAAATTTATTTCAACATCATTTTATTACGTAACTTTCATTTGAGTTGGATCACAAAATTATTGCAATAATTTTATTGCTTTAGTCGTTTTTGGAACAAAAAATTATGACCCTAAATGTCTATAGCAATCTAGGAATTGGAACAATTTGACGTTTCAATTAATTTGATCAATAGACACAACAATATTGGCACAACATTGATTGTTGTTTATTAGTAAAAGTCATGGAACCACTGGATGAGAAATAGACACGACAAAAGTCGTGTCTATTACTTTTACATTTATACCAACGACTTAAGTATGCCAATAGATCATAGACACACGTCTATTGGCACGACTTATTTGCAACGACATTTCATTGCAATATGTTAATAGGCACGATTTTAATGGTTATAGGCACAATATTCAGTTGTTCCTACTAAGGATGTTTGTTGTAGTGAGTGTTCGACACGTGGCGCCAATCAAGCTACTCCAACTTAAATATAGATATAATGAAACCGACTCTATATATCGACAACCAAGGGCAGGACCACCTGGATATAAGGTTAGCCGACCTCAACCATAAGGTTAATCAATCCGGTGAGCAGACAACTCGAAAGATGATAGCTCGACGTAGATTAAAGTCGAGGCTTTAGAGTTGGACATCGACCTTCCATAACCGACATATGTCAAAAAGGAAGTAGACTAGCAGTGTATGTGAAACTTGGTTGGCTTATTCTAGAGGAACCGACCATAATCCTACGAGGGGTCGGGACTTGACATATCATTTAATGCAGACTTGACATATGTCCATCATGGTGACATGAAGCAATCATCGAGTGTGGGGGCCATATGACAGGGCTGCGCGATGCCATCAAATCACATCAAACTGGCTACAAGCCCATGGGTCTTATAGTATAAATACCCCATTCCCCT